ACTTTCTTCTTAATTGGTATATTCTTTTTAGGTTTAGCAGTGTTTTTATGAGCCTTCACAATAGAATCAGGTGTTTGATCATTGGCTTCCGATATTACACTGGAAAGAATGACATTAGGGTCTACATCAGATATATCCTGGTTATCTAGAGCCACTATGGATATGAGAGGCAAACTAGCACACTGCATTGGTATATCAGTACACTGACTAACATGAGATAGATTAGCTGCACCAGTGAGTTCAGCTGCTGGCGCGATCACATTTGTTGTGACCTTAACAATGTTATTCTCGTCCATGGTAGGCTTTTGTGTTAGTCTTTGGTTGGTGGTTTTGTCTGAGATTATACGTGCGTTTTTAAACTTCGTATGCGCACAGACTAGTTGTTCAGATACTTTCAAACGTTCCGCTAATAAATGGGAATCAAATCTAAACAGGATAGGGCACGAGTATTTTTGATGCTTTTTGTTAAGTCGGATACATTGGCATGGAGATTAGCTGCCTTTAGTATCGAGTTTCTTACAGTTTCAATGGCAACTTTGTCCGGTATATTATATGTAATCACATTATTTCGAGGGATTATTCGCTTGGTGACTTCACTAGCTATCAAGTCAATAACGGATTCTACTTTGATCCTGTCTTCGAGTTCAAAAGTAACTATATCCTTTGACAACAGCAGTCGAAGGGGTGACAGTGTCTTTAGTTCTAGATTAAGATCATCATGTTTTAATAAAGAGCCCGCAAGTGACTCCACTTTAGAACACATATCACTTAATTGCTTATAGACAGCGGCTAATTCGCTCTTAATTAGATCAACACCATCTGTTCGTGAGTTAGAACTCATTATTAAGTTAGACATAGAGTCATCCAGCAGCATGTGTGGAATAAGTCTACTCCCACTATTATCTGGTGCAACAGAAGTTGCAGAGCATGGGGTATAGGTAAGACCAGAGTTGTCAATATCTGAAGAAATAGGACTTTTTCGAGCTCTTTTTTGTGTCAGTCGAACCATTTTTACTTCAAGGGTTAACTGAATGTTATTATTGATTTATAAACTAGGGTTTAACGATATATAAGTACTTTGTAATAAATACCGTGTCAGAGTAACGCAAACTTCAAACGTGCCGCAGTTTGTTTTTTAAAGCCTCAGATATTCCGGAGGGATATAAGGTCGAAGCTTCTAAAAGCTCCCAACTTCGCATGTATCGATTCCCGGCCATCAGCTGTATGTTGCAACGCTACCTTCATAAAGTGCGCCAAGTGTGATATTGACATATTTCTTACGAAATCCATTTACATTCATCTCATATCATTCATATCAACCCATCTGAGTAATTTTCAACAGTGAAAATTGTAACTTCTTTAACAATTTGATCTTGCCTGTAAACTGGCATGCCTCATGTAACAAACTGTTATTTGAGAAATTATTACTATTTGCTACTACCTGCGACATAAACTTTAGCATGATCTCTCCTGCCTCGTGTTTAGCTTACAAATATAGTTAAAACCAAGCATAAACCATGTGAATCGACATGGTTTGTTGCTTTTTATCATCCACTTTTTGCAAATACCTTTTATCTAGTGTGGCCGACCGCAAACACTTAACAAACCTACAAACAGACACCCTGTTTGGCGGCTCACATATTGTAAAACTTCCCGCAATAACCTTCACAGAAGCTAACAGGCGCTCTGTCGAGTATATAGGTTGATCCGTAGTCGTGATGTAATGTGTGCAATTGATGAGTACATGCGGTAATTTTTTTCCAGTTTCGTATATTTCGAAACACTTGACGAGTATGGATAGCAGTACTGATATATTATATTTTTAACCCTGATAATGCATAACCTACAACCATAAAATGAAGCTCCATAAAAATGTAATTTAGTAATTCTACCTACTGACCTCCGTTTACTTGGTTTGAAGAGTAGGTTGTAGTATTGCACAGGTTTATGCAAATGATTGACATTTAGGCGTCTACAACAACGAAAATCTAATAAATGGGCTCCCACAAACTCACTTAAGTAAATGCACGTTTGACTGTAGGTAGCAATGGCCTTACCATTCGGCTCTTGTCAATTAAAACCTGGGTTTTGTAAACACTCCTTAGTATTCATGAGAAGAACGCTCACTCCTGACAAACTTCGTCATCACATCAGTGATATATAACAAACAGCTATGCTCGTCGGCTTTTGTAGTCACTTGTCAGTAGGGGAGTTACTCGAAGGAATTGTCATGACGGGAGGTTTATATTTGTAGAAACTGCAGGGTTTCCTGCAATTACCAGATGAGTTACAATAAGCACCGTTCAACCAATTACGGCCTCTTATGGTCTAGAAGCAAAGTATTTTGTATGACAGACCTCTTTGGGGAGTTCTTCGTAGTCTGCAGTTATCCTGAAGACTAAGAAAATGAGTGGTATTAGCAGTCCAGGATAGTGTGAACAGGAAGTTGGGGGTGTGGGAGTCTCATTCTGTAATAGTTTTCACGTTTACTTCGAGATAATAAGAATAAATGTTACAAATATATAAGAACATTTGAGAACGTAAATATATTATCACAATATACAGGAATATATGAAGTGGTACGATATGGAATAAACTAACAGTACTGGATCGCGTACTGGATCACGTCAAACTTACTACTAAAGCGGTCGTACATATTCAGTATTTGGCAATTCCTTTGTCTGTAACACCTTTCGTTACGTCATTGATCTATCTACCCAATAATATACGAGTGTCTCGATTTAGGTCAAGCTTTGACATGATATGCTTGTTGGTTCAAACTTGGGGCTAGAGATACAGGAGCTTTAATTGAGGTTAACGGCCTTGTGAGGAGAGACAAGAACTACTATGTCGCCTGATTGTCTGACAAGCAAGAGACCGAGAGAAGATTCATCTCGAACACTACTAGATTTATTCCTGATTCCCCATTCGTGTAAAGAGACTAACAAATAAATAGATGACAACAACAATAAGTAGATGACAATTATTTCTGAACTGGGTATTAGAGTAGTCAAATAGAGCACAAAAGGTTAAGTTTCAATCATAACTGCTTTAGAACAGAAAAAGGTATGACAATCAGTCATATATCAAACGAAAGTTTCTGGTTTGTAGAATAACCCAGGGATGAAACCAAATGTTAATATTTTACAGACTATAAGTGAAGCTAAATAACGACCTGAAAATAGCTTCCGTTGTTTGTCGTGGATTTTTTATTTCGATGTTCACATCACCTTTATGATCGGTATCTTATAGCCAGTTAAACCAGAAGTAAGAAACGAAGGATTTCGAAGTTACAATTAGGTACTCAAAGCTTCAAGAATTATATGATTTAAGCTGACTCGTTGTAGTAAGAGATGAGAAGCGCAGCATACTCAGATGCGATTTAGTGTGAATGCTTGACTGCAATAGCGTATTCAATGAAATTAATGAAGTTTTTATCACTGTCGAAACCTTACACAACTATTTATTTTGGGGATTTATCTACCACTAAACTAATTTCTAAGAAAAACTGTAACAGAATAAAAAGCAAGCCAAAGTGAACACTGAAAAGAAGAGGAAACTTGATTTGGGATCTCCGCAACAAATTCGATTTTAAAACACGAAGTTCAGCGAAGGGATCTCTTTTCAACGAATTTATTATCAATCTGTACAATCGTATATATGAAAATTTTTTGTTAAAGTACTAATGATTTTGATCTTAAAACTGATTACCTAAATATGGAAACTCCTGAAAACCATGATAGATTGCGCTTACTCAACCAATACAAAGTAGTTCGGACACAATCTCCTCTTTAAAACAGGCATGGTTTGAGGAAGGGTCACTCTTATATAACCAACCTGCTGACTGAAGTGCACAGATGGACAGGCATCCTTGATCACAAGGGGAAGATTGATGTCATCTACCTTGACTTCTCAAAAGCTCTTGATAGGGTCAACCACGTATGTCTTATTAATAAGCTCAAACGATTGATTATCAACACAACCTCTAATTGACTGGCTCACTTCATATCTAAAAATCGACATTTTAAGGTCAAGATTAAATTCACTTTCTCTCAGGCTATGGAATGTCATAGTGGTGTCACCCAGGGTTCAGTACCAAGACTTTTTCTTGATTTATATGAACGATCGTCCACAACTGGTATTGTATGACTTATTACGTTTTGCTGATGATGTGAAACTTTGGAGAGAGATACGCAACCAAGAGGACATACTGGCACTTCGGGGGATCTGAGTCGACTTCAAAGTTGGGCAGACGACAACAGACTTGCCTTTAACATTTAAAAGTATAAAGTAGTCCATCTGCGACATGTTGCAGACTACAGTTATAATTTAAGAAACTCCTCTCTAGAAGTACACCGAGTCGAAAAAGATTTAGGAGTGCTGGTACCCTACGATTCGAAGTCTTACCTTAACTGTGACAAAAACACCTTTCGAGCAAATCTTGCACTGACAACATTAAAGGGCGTTTTTGGTCAGTTTGACGGTAGGAAATTCTACATAATCCTCAACAGTTTTATTCGGAAACACTGTATTCCCTACTTCATTCCAAAAGGATAAGAACACTCTGGAACGTATCCATCGGCGAGTCACGAAATAATTTCGGGGAATCAAATTCAAACCTTACGAAGAGCGCTTCCAATCACCAAACCTTTCTTTACCCATTAAAGTGTAGACGTCTTAGAGGTGACTTTATGGCTTACATTATCCTTAACACTTCTGGACGTCCCCTTAAACACCTACTTAAGTTTAGCTCAAACACAAACCTTAGGGGTAACACCCAGAAACTAGAGACACAACACAGCAGAACGGACTGTGGATACAACTTCCACTCCTTAAGAGTTGTCAAATGCTAGAATTCACTGCCGGCGGAGATAGTTCCAGCGACTTCCCAGAGGTCTTTTGAGAGACGACTTGACCTATTCTTAAGGACTAAGGATAACATATTATTATGATTTACCAACTTCCTTTCTTGCCTAGAAGTATTCGTGTTCCACTGCTACTAGACACGGAAGCCCGTTAAGCGAAAGCTTCTTCTACTCCGTCCACAAACATTTGAACCATTTGAAGCTTTTCAAGGTCGTTGTGACGGCAAGGCGGACGGATATGGAAGTGTCCCCACTCTCAGTTTCGATTATCAGGTTTTCTTAATACGATGTTTTATTTCTTATTGCTGTCGATTGTTCTCATTATTTAATGTATGCACATTCTATATGCTTACTGAGTTTTAGGCCCATTTTTTCTCCGGTTGTATTCTTTTCCAGATCCACATACGGTTCTCCACTCTCCCAGCATAAAAGGTATCTTTAGGCTGAATCCAAACCTAACAAACGTTAGACGTTAAACTTTACATTTATACCGTTTCTTTCGGCAATACACTAGCCACAATAGCATCGATCGTTGCCATCTTGTTCGAACAGGGCTCTCATTGTAGGCTAAAACATTCAGCTGTATGAAAGCATCTTAAATCGGTCAACATACTTCCCGCTCTCGAACGAACAAAAATGTATGCGAGTTTTATACACCATATAAATAAAATAGTAGACATCTATCCACAACTTCTAAACCCTTTAGTCCCAACTTACGCCTGTTGCCCCTCATGGTGGAGCATAGGCCGTCCACCAGCATTCTCCATTCAACCCTGTCCTGGGCGGTCCTTTCAATTTCTTTCCAGTTGTTATTCATCCTTTTCATATCTGCTATTTCCCGACGCAGTGTGTTCTTTGGCCTTCCTCTTCTCCGTTTCCCTTCCAAGTTAGGGCTTGCCACGCGATGCAGTTTGATGATTTCCTTAATGTATGTCCGGTCCATCTCTAACGTCTTTTCCTAATTTCCTCTTCAGCTGGAAGCTGGTTTATTCTCTCCCATAAAACGCTGTTGCTTATATCATCTGGCCAGTGAATGTTGAGTATTTTGCGTGAACAACTGTTTGTAAATTCTTGTACCTTCTTGATGATGGATGTAGTAGTTCTCTACGTTGTAGCTCCGTACAGTAGGACAGTCTTGACGCTCGTATTGAAGGTTCTCACTTTGTAGTTAGTTGACAGTTATCTTGAGTTCCATATGTTCTTCAATTGTAGGAATGCGGTCCTTGCTGTAATCCGAAACGGACGTCAAAACTTCACTTAATTACCAAACTTTCTAAAGAACTTGCTAATACACCATTTGCAAATCAATATAGGTAGACAACTACTTGCAAATTTTCGTGGCACTCCATAAACTACAAATTGGGGTTGTCTGTACCTCAGGAGTATGAGGACTATTCAAACTGCGAACTAGCTCATTGTGTCAAGTACCTGAGTTGTTAAACCATAGCATAATCAATAAAAGTGTTTGTTTGGCGTGGTAACTATTCATCTGACGTTAGTCGAATAAACTTTCGTTCTTAAATTGCAATTACCAACAATTAATACTTCACTCACCAAGTACCTAGATTTAATCTTGTTGCTCCAAGACTACTGCACTTCATCAATGGCTTTGCCTTTAGAATTTTATCTGTAATTGATATCTCTTGACATTTCGAAGTATCATCGTTTTTCACTTCTAGTTATTAGAAACTAAATATTCTCATATACTCCGCTACATTTTTGGTCGGGTTGTATTCTCACGGAACTGAACTTTAAAACTGAAATGTATGTGTTATTAGGTCGATCAACTTCCCTTATTTCAAAAACCATCCTATTGAGTAGAACTTTCAGCACAAGTTGTAAACTGACCTCCAGTAAGTCAATATCTTTTTGAATAAAAGCAGATGTCTACTATACCCAAAAACACGAGTGGATCAAAGTTAGTGGTGACGTTGGGACTGTAGGAATTTCTAAATATGCTGAACAGAAACTGGGTGATATAGTGTACGTTGAATTACCTGCTGTTGGAGACAAGGTCAATGCTAATGGTATTTCCTGGTTTTATGACCACTAAAAGTAGATCAATGTGCCGTCGTCGAATCAGTCAAGGCTGTTAGCGAAGTATACTCTCCAGTGTCAGGTACCATAATTGAAGTCAATTCAGATGTTGAAAAAAATACAAAAATAATCAATCAGTCCCCTTCAGACGAAGGTACGTTATGCGTATTTGAATCTTCTGGTTTACTAACAAACATTTTCCGTCTATATGAAGTTATATTTCTTCTCAGAGTCGTCAGAAAATTCTGTAATGTAGTTAGTTATTCAAAATGAGCACCATAAGCATTAGCCCAAAAAGGCTAATAAATAACGAGAAGTCCATCCATTCTACTATCATTAACTTTGAACCACGTCGCTGAGTTTTCAGTTACAGTTTCCCAAGTATTGGGCATCTCAATCAGTTAGCCTGTATCCTTCCAATATGTTGAGTTGTAGATTGGTAATTGTTATCTTCATCCGTTTACCCACCTTAATACTGTTTAATCTCGCATCAAATATGAGTAGTGGTTTGGAATGTACAACATATCCAGTCAACATCGACTAGTTTACTGGGATTACCCAAAACTATGCGTCTAACCTCAGGATTATTGAGTCATTTCCCCCTCCCTATGTTAACAACACTTCGATTTTGCATTTCCGACTACAAACTCCAGGTTTCAATTATAGTGTTTCTCTCCCTTACTAAATATGAAAATACTACGACAGGAAATTATTACGAAGCTCACTTTGACGATAAAGATATGGAAGTTGTATTTCAACAAAAACCATTTTGAGGCTTAGTGAACCGTAAAGAGGATATTCTCTTAGTAACGTATTATGATTCGCTATAAAAACACCAGTAACAACTGTGCGCAATCTATTGCACAACGTCATATTTTAAGAAATAGATGTTAAAATACTCATCTCAACCAGCTCCAAACACGATAATAGGCTCAAATATACCGAGCGCAAACTAAAATGTCTTCGTAATGGCTACGAACAATGCTAGACAACAAAATCCAAAGAAACGCACAAGGACGCGCTTAATTTTGGCTCATCAAGTAGACGAGTTAAAAGATCAGCCACCAGTAAAGTTGCCATCAAAAAGACAAACTAGTGGTTTATTTTCAGACCATTTTACTGAAATGATAAATAAAAAACTCCAAATAATAATTCAACCTCCCCTCTATTTCCCACAAACCATCGTCCTAAATAGTGACTACCTTAGTGGCAACATATCTGACGTGCTCAAGTTTCATTCTCATATGACACGTTTATGGTTCAGTAAGCGGTGGTTTTGTCCCTTGATTCTTATCGCGGGTCTTTACTCCTGAAACAAAATAAATTTGCTTGTAAGACCTCGACGTATCTCGTCCTCAAAACTAAAAACCGTAAATATATTTATAAAAGGAACTGTTTTAATTAGTTTAAAACCACAACATTGGTTTCCGTATCCAATCTGGTAGTTTCGTGCATGTTCTTGTCAGAAGGTACTAAGGAAACACACAAAAAATTGTTTCACAAATCTTATTGTGGCAAACCGAATCTTAGTATTTACTGCATAACAGTCTATGGTGTATATCTACTTTTATATTTTACCTTTTATGCATGTAAATATGCATAGAGAAATCCTAGTGTTAATTCTGTTGTCCTTGTTTTTAAAGCTAACAGTTTGTTATGAAACGCGTCCATGTAATCACTATACAGCCTTTAGCTTCATCTTAACATTTCTGTTTATTTCATTTTCCAGGGTGGCTTTTCAAGCTTCGACTTTCAGACTTATCACAAGTGAAGAACCTTTTATCTGAAGAAAATTATGACAAATTTTTGACCTCCGAATCTTGATATTGTAACCTATTCTTCAGTTTGTTTTTTTAGGCATTACAAATCCCCAACGTTCCTATTTTGAATAATAAAACATTATTTAGCGTATGATCAGGTTACTAAATTTTTCTAGACTTCACCTCAGCACATTTTAATCTCAGTTTTATATATTTTTACTTATAACTATCTTTTATTTATAGAAAACAAACTTCTGGGTACATAATAGCAAAAATATGCGCCTCACAAGAGAAGTCATAATATTTGTATGAAGAGAAAAGGAAAGAATCACACAGTCTGTGAATAAACAAACACTCATGAAATTTCAACAAGGGTAGAGTTCGTTATAAATACAACCTATAAAGTTTTCCGATTAAGAAAATCCACCTCACTTTTATGAACAATGTAGCAAGAAACTACAGTGGGAATCTTGGGCCGCGTATAACGTCTCAACATACTTGGTTGCAGCATCTCTAGGGCCCCAACTAAGCAATCTTAATGAACCTACAGGTCTTACTCCTCTTCGCCTATCTTGCACATCATGACACCATGTCACAAACTGACCACATTTCCGCTTCCTCGATTTGGTCTCAGCGTCAGCAAGTAACTTGCGGTGTAAAAGGCATTAGAATAACATTCGTAAGAAACTCGAAGTCAGTGTTTCAAGATAGTGATACTGAAAGTGATGTAGATGTGTTCAAACACTCCCGAACCTCAGCATTTCTAGCATTGTGTTCTCACCGTGTGTAAGCAATTCTCCGTAAACAATGATAACCAAACCCAGGGAATCTCCTAACATTCTAAGCTCGAAAATTCCTGGATTCATAAGCACAGACAAACTTCGCTCGTCGACGTATTATCAAACATTAATACCCAGTTTTACACCATGACTACGCCAAAGAGGATGCAGATGGACTTTATGAACTTTTATTTCTTTTGAATGTGAACTCTGTTACTATTCCGACAGTCTTCCCTTGTTAGGATCAAGGTAAATAAATGTCTAAATTTTGATCCTTGGGTTGGTTTGTTACAAGTATATTGGATATTCAAAGCCTGGAATTTGGTACTGTATGTTACGAGTATTGTTATGAAAAGACGTCTCAGTATTAAAACCGCACTAATTAATTTGTGAGTATACGCTTCTCTTGTACCTAGCAATTCTCTAAATTGGGTTCGAGAATGACAACTATCCTCGTTTCTTTGTGCGGCTAACGTTTGCTGCGTGGTTGTACTTCGTTCCATAGTAACATACCAGAATATAATTCAAAAAAATCAAGTGATTTTACTATCTTCATTGATTACAATAAACAACCGTACAATTTAATTATGTCATAGACTCCCCCCCATTTGTTTAATTCCCCTTCAAGAGTACATTTATACACGCCTTTCATATGTATTGTAGGTAGGCCCAGAAAAATAGTTTACGAACCATATAACTGCCAAGAAATAATATCCAAAAATCAGTTAAACAGTAATTAGCACCGTGTTACTGTAAAAGCACCATGTCTACATTTAGCGGTAATTGAAATAAATAATCCTCCTAGAGATACCTTTCACCACAACCTGATTTTACTTGAACCGTTGGAAATTACGTGGCGGATCATCCCGAAAAACCTTATTGAACTGTTGTGGTCCGTAAGGTCAGCTGAGTTATGAGTGAAAAATTTACCAACTAATGACAGATACATTATCTCGTTACAACATCCGTGAACTGCCTGTGACTTATGACAAGATAATTAAAATAACAGAATAATCATCCACTGTTAGATAGATCAGACCTATATCTTTATCGACTAGGGTTCATTGTTAGGGTCAGAGTCGAGCAAGTAACATGTACTCAAATCTATTTGGTTGTTAACTTTCTCGACGAGCCATGTTAGTCGGTCAGAGGTAATATTAAGTGTACTAGGACAGGGTAGATGTTACTTTATATGTATGTGATTAAGGTCATGCACATTATTGACATTCTCTCATATATTTATATCTAACTGGTCGTATTCCATATTTCCTCTTATGATTAGTCATTTGTTCCTAGTGCGTTAATACTGGCTATAACACAGCAATCCGTCTCTATTCATCTTAAGCATTCCAAGTTCGAATTGACAATCCCTTGTTGAATATCAGCTTATCGACAAAGCTATTCCACCACGTTACTTAATTGGATAGTTTAGAGCTCAAACAGTCCGAAATAATATTTTGACCTAAATTTACGAGAAATCTCCAACATTTAGGGTTAACCGACACAGGTAATTAGATTTGACTATCATGACCACTGTATGTATCACACGAACATTGATTTCCTTATCAATCTTAATGTCTCCACGTAAATAGTTATATTGCTCTCAATGAATTGTAGGCTTTTAGTCATTTCCCGTTACCTGTGGTAATCCCATATTTTGTATAATGTATACTAGTTTCCAAACTCCATGAGTTTCAGTGGCAAAAGCTTTATGAAATGTATATTAAAATACAGATATTTATATATGTGTCGTGTCATCATGTTGCATAAAGACTGATACATTTTCTATGAAAAGTGCCAAAAAAGCAACTAGGTGGTAGTTTCTACTTTTTTGGTATGACATTGGGGAAAAGTCCCCAAACAAATCTTATACTATAGGGATGAAGCATTACTATAAGTCCACCAAACTGCCTTGATTCGGACTGAGATTATTCTCTACAACTGACTGATTTACAATCAAACATTGTAATGGTAACCGGTCACGATGTGAGATATTTCTGCTGTTTGTCGCTCTATATAATAATATGCACAGATAGACGAAAGACGCTTACAACTACAAAATCTCACAGTGACGTAGACAGGTATCTAGCCCCTCGTATTAAAAGACATCTCCCCGATAAAGCTTACCAGTGTAATTTTCCACTAGACACTCGATTGCCAGCCAAAAAGCTATATCACCATGTTTTTTTTCCTTTCGTTGTGAAAATTTTCATCATTATACACTACCCAAATAATTAGATTCCAGAGCAGTGCTACTGCAAGAGATCGTGTGTTCCAGGATTGGTTGCGAACCAATACGAGTCGAACCATAAGCCTTGTCCTGAATCCTATTCAGTAGTTATTACCAGTCAGTTATGAAATCCTTAGTCATGTAAAGTGAAAGATTAGGCTGATGTTATGAAACGTACGAAATTATGCCACATTAAGTGAGGTGAACAAAACTCGCTGCACATGAAGAGAAGATAAAATCCTGTTATCAATTCTACAGCTATGAAAGACGTGGCACGAATTAAGGTCATCACTACAAAATCCCAACTGTTGGAATGGAACTCTACAAATCCCTGTTAGTTCATCCACCTGGCATTGAATGCTCAGGAGGTTTTTACAATACTTTTCCACATTATAATTGTATGGTTTTCTATGCACTTATAAAATTTAAAAGTACAACTTATTGTTTGATTGTAAATTAGTCACTGAATATTACTGTGTATATCAGTTCTAATTCCTTTAAATGTGCAGAAGCCATTTTAGCCTATATAAAATTCAAATACTTCGATAATTCCTTACGTACTGTACTTGAATTCCACCATATATTAGTTACTGAACTCCAGGGAAGGCTCTTTTTAGAAATCTATCTTATTGGATTAATTAGTTTTAATACTGTCTCTTACTCTTAAGTAGGCTAGTCATTTATTAAAGAAGAATAACTAATCTAAATCTTACAGTCTTGGTTAGAACTGCTTAATAAATGGTGCATTATTTAACGTATGCTTTCGAGAGGATTACTATAGTTAGTGTAGTCAGATTACGATGATGTTACTTCTTTAGACTTGTAGAACCAGAAAAAACACTCCTACAACACCTGTAATTACCTATTCACTAAATCAGCGTCATAATGGGTAGATGAGGGCTCGAAGTCAACTTAATGTAATTAAGGAATCGAATGCGATCATTCACATTTGAATTAAAATATGTGTAGCTCAGAAGCATGATGACTTTTGGAGCGCCTTATAATCCTGTCTAGAAAGACAATCGAATTCATGCAACTGAAAAAGTGAAATTCTTTTAAAGGGATGATTGCTTATCTTTCTGAATCCCTAACTCTATAAATACTTTAATCTCTGAGATCCTTAATTCTTTAACTGTGTTTCCTTACCATACGAATTAGGGGAAGTGTTGCAATAATGAAGGTCATCCGTCTGGTTACTGTATTATTCATTTAATTTAGCAAGCTATAATGTACATAAATACGACAAACAATGCATCCAAGCTATTTTAAGATAGCTGACTTTTTTATTATCACTTAGATTATGCAGCCTGTTGATATCATAGAGTCAATTTCTTAGAGTGTCAAGATGATCTTCATGTGTCCTTTGCTGTCGTAACTAAATTTAATTAAGCCTCAGCAACCAGATCACAAACACCACAACAAATGAAGACGAAGTGTGTAGAACTTTATAAAATATACCACGGAAAGAAAGGAGACATTTGTGATATAGGATTACGGTAAAAGAAAACAATCAATATCACCTATCCCAAATAGAAATTACTATTTTGAGTAGCCCAAAGATGCCACGAGGATTCGGAGTTTGACAACGCCATTTCACGCAATGCTCTTATATAATAATAAGGATTGTTAGAATTAATGTGCTAATTAGGAATTTCCGGAGTAGTGCAATTTGGAGCACATAGAACTAAATGGACATATTATATTTGGATTTTGTAACAAGTGGGCAATCACGTACGAACGAATCATCAGTCAGTACAAATACCACAACCGCCATAGCTTAGATGGGAATCCAGGTTCCCGTAATCTGTTGTACATCTTTACCCTAGCTCCATCATTTGTCCATGCGGTTGTTTTGCGTAAAGACTTTGTATGATCTAGAATGTACTCATTAGTATCGAATTAACAAGGGGGACTTGAATGTACTCATCTGGGTGACTGTGACGTATTCGGTTATTGTGACCGGCGTACACATGAACCATAGATTTATCAAACATTTTTGTCCGAGTTTCCGTAAATTGTGGAGGATCAGTTCCTCGATAGTATTTAACATCGACAGACTGTAAACATTCTTTATTTAGATAAAATGTTTTTTGGGTGAGACTATAATATATTGTTGATTGGTTCGTTCACAAGTCATAGTCTCGCCACTCTACCTTCTGGGTCTTTGAATTTTGTGGTAGTATTAGAACTGACGCTTTTTTAAGGTCTTGGATTTTC